CCCCTTAGCCTATCCAGAACAATACCATGGTCGATGGTATCGAAAGCCACTGAGAGGTCCAGGAGAACCAACAGGGACGCAGTCCCCCTGTCTTTCTCCCTGCACAGGTCATCATACAGGGCGACCAAGGCAGATTCAGTACCATACCCGGGTCTGAAGCCGGACTGAAATGGGTCCAGATAATCAGTCTCATCCAAGAGAGCCTGGAGTTGTCCCGCCACCACCCACTCCAGCACCTTGCCCAAAAACGGGATGTTGGCCACTGGTCTATAATTGGCGGCCATCTCTGGATCCAGGGACGCCTTCTTTAGGACCGGCCTGACCACCGCCTCCTTTAGAGGGGCAGGCACCCGGCCGTCCTTCAAAGAGGCGTTGATGACCTCCCCGATCCAGGAACCAATCCCGTGTTTGGCTTTGGATAGTAGCCACGATGGGCAGGGGTCCAGTACACAGGTGGTGGTACGTACTTGTCCAAGCACCTTGGCCACGTCATCAGGCCGCAATAACTGAAACTCATCCAACGATGTGTGACCAGACGGTAACACTGGCACCTCCCCTAAGGAATCTGAGTCACTAGCAGAGTCCAGCTCATGACGAATCTGAGCGACTTTCTCCTTGAAGTGCTGGGCAAAGTCATCACAGCGGGTTATCGAGGGTGGTACAGGATCATTCTTGGGGCCTGGCTGTACCAGCCCCTGTACCACCCGAAAAAGTTCCACTGGACGGCACTGTGAGGAGGCAATGGAAGTGGAGAAGAATTTCTTCTTCGCTGCCCTCACCACCACAGCATAGGCCCGATAATGGGCTCTTAAGTGTGTTCGGTCAGATTCATCCCAAGATTTTCTCCACCTATGCTCTAGTCGTCTCCCAACCCGCTTCATCGCCCGTAATTCAGGTGTATACCAAGGGGATGAACGGGCTCTGCCCAGCAGGAGAGGATGCTTAGGAGCGAACGTGTCAATAGCTCTGGTCATTTCCCCATTCCACAGTTCGACCAGAGCTTCAACAGGAGCACCCGCTTTACCAACCGGAAACTCCCCCAGAGCTTTCAAGAATCCATCCAGATCCACCCGGCTCCAAGGGCGGACCTACACAATAGGGTCTGTACCCTTACAGAGGGGAAGGCCGCCATTGAGCTCAAACCTCACGAGGAAGTGGTCTGACCATGACAGGGGAGTCAGACACAAATTCCTCACCCTCAGATCACCCTCTTCCTGTCCCGTCGAGAAAACCAGGTCCAGCGTGTGTCCATGTTCATGGGTCGGGCCAGTGACATGTTGAGACAGCCCCATGGCCGTCATGGAGGCCATGAAGTCCTGAGCCATCCCGGTCAGAACAGTCTCAGCATGGAGATTGAAGTCCCCCAGGACCAACATCCTGGGGGTCCTCAACACCAGGTCCGAGACAATCTCTGTCAGCTCAGGCAGGGAGTCTGCTGGGCAGAAGGCTGCACGGTACACCAACAGGATCCCCAATCTGTCTCGGTCGCCCAATGCCAAGTAGAGGCACTCCAGACCTGGTCTCGAGAGGACAGGAAGCCCCGCAAGGGAAAGAGAGGCTCGATGAACTAAAGCGACCCCCTCCCCTCCCCTCCCCCCCGGGCATGGCCAATGCTGAACCAGAAACCAGGGCGGGCACAGCTGAGAGAGGGGTATGTCCCCCACACCCTCTCCCGCCCAAGTCTCTGTGATGCAAGCCAGGTCGGCCCCCTCATCCACAATTAAGTCATGGATGAGGGATGTTTTATTATGGACTGACCTGGCATTAAGGAACAGCACCGTCAGGCCCGAGGGGCGGTTGATAAGCATACCCGGAACCTTCCGGCTGGGGGAATAACCAGAAGGGGGGACAGGTGTCAACCATCTGTCCCTCCTCCTTCTATGCGGACCCGTTAAACCCCAACGCCGTAACGCCCACTGCCCATAACCACCCCAATGGTGGCGCCCAGGAGCTCCCCAGGCAACCCCAAAGAAGCAGTCAAGTGTGAATCCATTAAAAACAGACAGAAAAAAACAGATAAAATTAAAAACAATAAAACCATGCCACCCCCCCGACAGCAAATTAAGAAAGCCGACCCATAGAGTCCCTGGCCAGCCCAGCCCCCGCACGGCCCCGAATGGACCCAAATGGCGTCACTGCCCTTGCGAGTCCTCCTCCGCACAATATTTATTTGTCTTCACAGGCCAAGCACCCCATTAAAAAGTTATCTGGGTTTCATCTGCCTTATATTCCACAGCTTCTCACTAGCAGAAGCGCTTAAGCCAACGTTTTAACTCTTCCAAAGTCCGAACTACCAGTGGTGGTTGCAATATTATCACTGTGGTTTCCTGTGCATGAAATTGTGATTGCTGCTCTCAAACACACACATCAGATGCGTATTCCGGGCTACACAAAGTCTGACGGTAGCTGAACTGTGTGTTGGCTTTTTTTAGTTTTTTACCTCATCCTTAAAACCTCTGAACAAGAGGGCTAACCTGGCAGCATCACATTACCTGAGGCTGTTCTGATTTTGATGGGGATTCCTAATTATTTACAGCCATAAAAATCAGCCCCCTAGGTGCTTTTTAGTTTCCTCCCCTACCCTGTGGTTGATGGTGCAGGTAAGTTTCTCCACTGCTGTCTCAGCATGGTGTCTTCCAGAGGTTTTAGACTGCACTCCCCAGCATTCCTGAGAATGATGGGAGCTGTAGTCACAAACATCTGGGGGGCAAAAGGGCAGTTATCGTCAGGTTAACTTTTTCCATTTGTTAAAAATGGGGAGGGGGCACTGCAAGTAAAAATGCTAGCCAGCTTGTTTGGTTCTAATCTAGTTCTAATCCTCTTCTCCCCTTCCATGTTCCCCCAAATCAGAATGCCACGACAATAACCTTATCTAATTTACTACTCTTCTCTAGTGCCCAGTAGCCAAAGTTCTTTGGGTAATTTACCATAGTTAGAATTTTAAAATATAAACATTTCAAAATTTTAAAACGACAGTATAAAACCAAAACTTAGTAGCAGTGAAAATACAGATTCAACTTAATAAAAGAAGAACTAAAATGATTGAGAAAATAAAAACGCCTTCACCTAATCTGGAAAAAATATAAACTTTTTTACACTATTTCCAGGAAAGGGGACATATGCCCCCCAAATACTCCTGACACTCAAAAGCCATTGACCCAAAAATGCTTCCACCCAAGCAGGCTAATCGACTTTGAAACACCAACCATGATTTTACTTAGTACATTTCCCCAGAATATAGCCAACATTTCATTTGCTTAGATTTAACTTAGAAACTTGCCACCCTTTTTCACTTATCTGCTTATTTCTAACCAGCTAAATCTTGCCCAGTGACAGAAATTATCGAAGAAAAAACAGGTTGCAAAAAGTGAAGCCGCGGGTGGTGTGTGTGTGTTGGGGGGGGGGGAGACTGATACCCAGCTACATGAACCCACTAGAAAGCCTAAGCACGTTTTCTTAGAAACGAATCGCAGTGGCTCCAATGCAGCTACTCATACGCAGGTATGCTGCGATCTTTTGCACGCCTACGCAGGAGAAGGCTTACTTTCAAGTAAAGGCATGCCTTTACAGCCTCAGAAGCAACAAGGATAGACCGAAAGGGGAGGCATCCAGAGAAGGAAGCGAACGAGGAAGGGGCAGCCGCGGTATGAAGCCCGGCGGGAAGGCGGCGACACGCTTGTTGCTCTGCTGTTGCATCATCAGAAAGGTGGAGCCGGCGAAGAGTAGAAAAGGGGCGTAGCGTTGCCACTCATTTCCATTTTCCTTCCCCCGGGATTTTCCAACACTTTCCTACCCATTTACGCGCGCTCTTTATTAAAGAAGCGGGCTGCACCCACGTGGTCAACATTCCAGGGCAGAAATGGGGGGGGGACTGCGCTGGAGGCGATTCCCCACGCCACCTGCCCTTTCCCAAGCAGCGCCCTCTCCGGGCGCCCCATTCACTCCGCGTCCACTTTCCCAAGTCAACCGCGAGCCCGAGCAGGTGTTCCGGCTGCAGGTCGCCGCAACTGCCATGGGACGCCTTTCCAGGCATCGCTCTGCCGGAATGCGCCGGCACAATCCGGTACAGGGCTCGGTACGTGGAAGGGGGCGTAATTCGCTCCGTGCGCGCACACGGCTGCCCTAGGAAGCGCCCTGGAGCCTCTCCTCGCGCTCCGTTACGCGTGGTGTGAACACTGCTAGCGAGGCACCTCTTTACACAAGGGGGCGCGTACGTGCCCGCTTTTTGCGCTCGCTTCGGGACACCATGTCAGACTCCTGTGACGCTTCCTCGTTTACCCCCGCCCCCCCCAAACACAACGCCTCCACTTTGCCACGGGCTGCAACTCCCAATGACAAGCAAAGCGACTCGGGGAGGCGACGCCGCAAATTCATCGCCCTCCTTACCTCTTCGCATCCCCTCTCTCAAACAGGGTGGGAAAGGCACACTTGCCCGGGCATGTTCCCTCCGCAGGAAAGTGGAGAAAGCGCTCACGTGGGGAAGGGAGAGACTTCGGACGGGCTTGATTGAGCGAATCCCTCTCTGCTCTCTCCGAGCACCCCCTCATGACTTAGCTGGAGGAGGGCCTGCCCACCTCTCGAGAAGCCCCACAGCAAGCGTCACCCCGCCTCTCCTTACCTGAGGACACGACCGTGCCTTGTCTTTTCCCCCTCCCATCCCCCACCGTGGGGCAAGGAGGAAAGGCCTACCTTGCATATCGTCACCCCCCCCCCGCAACTCTGGTCCCCCCACGCGGCGCAACCCTACGCGCGCCCACTCCAAAGCAAGTTCCTCGGAGGTCACAGGGATACCTTCGAGGAAATGCGGCAGACTTTTATTCACAACTACAGGCAACTTCATTGAAAGACGGTAGGGAAAGCGGGCACGCGCAGCATTTGGGGGGACCGTGAGCAGACCCTGGAAGTGCTCGCGCGTCGTCGTGAAGGGAAGGAAGGAAGGAAGGAAGACAGGAAAAAAGCATCCCGAGAAAGAAGCGGGGCCCGAAAAGCTTTCCACTCACGGGAGCGTAAAGTGTTGCGCACAGCAAGATGAGGAGGCACTTTGCGCTCATCGCAAACGCCGAGGCTGGGCTGCAGCGGCCGCGTCTCCAACTTCCCGGAGGGTGGAGGACACGGGAGAGAAAAATCAGCCCGCAGCACAGCGCACACCCTACCACCTTCGCCATCGGAGTAACTACGCGCTGCCGAGGCGAATACAGGATTTAAGTCCGCCGCTGAAGCGCTCCGCCCCCCCGGTCCCCTCCCACTCCAGGCGCTGGAAAGGCTCTCCAAGGCGCAGCGCGGTGGCGCTCCGAAGTTGCAAACGTTGCTCCCCGCCAGATATGTAACAGCTCAGCTGTTATCCCCCAGCCGGGTCCATTACCGGCATGGCCGCACGTCTCACCCCTTCCCCGCGAGGTAGGGCGGACTGTGGTGCAGCCCCGAGCCCAAAACCCGGCCCTCACCTCCCCAGGGGTCCCTAAAGGCGTGGTGAGGGCTGGGAGCAGCAGCCTCAGAAGCAGGGGGTGTTTATTGCTACGGGTGCCGTGATTTAAAGGAGTTTAAAGGCCAAACCTGCGTCCGTCTTTTAAAAGTTTGGGGTTGGCAAACGGTTTTGTGGTTCTCAAGTCTCCAGTAGTGTTACTTGTCAAGCGTGGGAGGTGGTTATAATTGTGTGTTTTAGAAGTGATGTAATACCCCTGGCTGTCCAAAGGGCTCCGCATAAGCTCTTTAGGGATGCAGTCCTACGTATGTTTAGAGAGAGAAGGCCCTACACGTCCCAGCATGCCTTGGGTTGCTCTGAAGTCAAGTGTCCAAAAGTATGTGTCACTGAAAGACACCCTTTTGTCAGTATTCCTCAAAGTAACACTTCTACTGCTCCTTGCAGCTTTTAATATATTGCCCCCAGAAGAAGAAAGGCTTGTGGGTTTGGGTCTAGAGGAAAACAGGCCCTTGTTTTAGAGCTTTCTTTAAACTCCTTTACAGACAAGCCGGCAGGTTTGCTAAGCCATTTGGTGTACAAATAAGCCTAGCTCTAGACTAGACTAGACAATAAACTCGTCTCTGATGAAATATAGTTATTAGCAAACCAAGTGGAGAGAAGTTGAGAAAAAGCTGGTTGCTTTCAAAAATACAGTGGCAAGTCAGACTGCCTCACCAGATCTGCTTATCAGGGTCCTGTGAGTAACTCAGCGAAGCAGCTTACAGGTGTGGGGTGGGATGAGACATCCAGAGGGCAGGGCAAAAACCACCCTCTCGGGCCTTTGATGTTAATTCACTTGGCACTGCTGAGATGATAGTGTTATCACCCATTACTGCTTCTGTGAACAGGCTTAGGACTTCTTTTGCTTCTATTTTGAAGCTTTAATGCTTGCAGATTATACTTTCAGCATTGTTTTGCTATCTTAACAGCATTGTTTAAGACCCCCCCCCCATTTTGTATCTCTATGATATATACATGCATGCCAATTCAAGAGAAATACTTGATGCATTTGATGAAGTGGATTCTAATCCATGAGGCCAGATACTAAAAAAAAGTTATTATAATTTTGTTATTATTTACTATAAAATGTCCGTGGTTTGATGCTGCCAGATGCTTTTGTGGGTTTTAGGGGCAAGAAAATGCTATGCTTCCCTTCTAGAAGTACCTGCTACTTTTGTGACATTTTAGTTGGCCAAATAAATGTACTGTAAATACTGACACATAAGATGACCCTTGAAACCAGAAATAGGCAAAAATTGGAGGGTTGTCTAGTATGTCTGGTGAAACATTTTCATCATACAGTAGGACTCCCATATCCATGTGGGATAGGTTCTGAGCCTCTGAGCAGATGCTTGAAAGTTCAGGGCCCCCTTTTTTCCAGGATTAGCTAGTGAGTATGTGTTTTGTCTCTCAGCAGGCAAGAAGGCTCTAGAGATAGTTGCCTTTTTCCTAGCAATATTCACTCCCCCTGCTCCCCAGAGATACACCCATATATATTGATGTATAAGGGAAGCCTTGAAACAGGACAGAGCAAAGCAAAGTTTGTGGGTCATCTTATGTGCCCGACATATGGCAAACACCAGAAAAAAACAGCCCAAAATATGGACCTCATCCCATGCACGAGTCACCTTATACACCAGTATATATGGTTTTAACCTGCAGTGGCTTTTGGGGATTGGTGATGCCAGTTGTTAGATAAAGAACACAAGGAGGCCTGCTGGATCAGTGCAAAGTCTGGCCTGGTTCAGCATCCACCCAAAGCAGATCGGCGCAGGGAGTCCACAGACAGGGCACAAGGACAACATTCTCTCCTGCTGCTGCTCTTTGATAGCTCTATCTAGTCTGTCTAAGCTGACTTTCAAAGCCACCTCAGTGAGTCACTGTGATTACATCACATTGGCAGTGAGTTCCATAGTTTGGCCCAGTGCCTGATGCTAACCCTTCCCAAAGCATGAGGCCTGCAGCAGTCCTAGGAGGGACCACAGAAAATGTTACTTATCAGGTTAGCTTGAACTAAGTCCAAAATAGACTTCAAGCTCTACCAAATAGATTGTCAAGTTTTCCTGTTCCTTTTGGGACAGGAAAAATGCAGTTGTCAGCTTTGAAAATGCACATGTTAGTAAATGCGGTGAAGGTTGTGTGGTTTCTTTTCATTTTGAATACCTGCTGGATTTTTTTAAAATGAGGCAACAGCCATTACTTGCTTCTTTGCTCCACCAACTGTAGCTGCTCTCTAAAATCAGTATAGAACCTAATCCAGTTAAGTCTGCAGTCTCCTCCTATTATTTGTATAAAGACTAAATGCAGACTCTGAGCTTTCAACAGGTAGCCAGTTCTCCCCGCCTCATCTGATTGAGAATTCTGTGAATTGAAATTTTGTGATATTGTGGGTATTTCTAATGAAGGGATTGAACAATCATGTTAACTAGTTATGTTGAAGTCTATTGTAAAGGCCATGACGAATAACATCGAATGAATGTGTATAGACCACAAAATGAAGAATTCCAACAGCATAAAATGTAAATAAATTAAAATATACTATGAACAAAAATTCATAGCAACAGAGCGAGTCAGAAGGGACTTCCCGGGCCATCTAGTCTGACCTCCGGCACCAGCCGGCTCCGCTTATGACATGCCCACCATGTGGACATCCAGCCTATCCTTGAACTCCCGCACCAATGGGGCCTCAACGACCTCTCGTGGAAGCCCATTCCACACCCTCGGGGTCCTGACTGTCAGGAAGTGCTTCCTGGCATCCAAACGAAACCTTGGCTCCCTGAGCTTTGCTCCGTTGGAGCACGTCCTGCCTTCCTTTGCAGGAGAAAATAGGTCTCTACCCATCTCCAGGTGACATTCCCTCACATACCTGTATGTCTTCAATTTGGCACTGAATCTGCCTTGGTCGCCCTGTATGATGACCTGTGCAGGGAGAGAGACAGGGGGAGTGCGTCCCTTTCTCCTGGATCTCTCAGCGGCTTTCGATACCATCGACCATGGTATCCTTCTGGATAGGCTGGTGGGATTGGGAGTTGGAGACACCGCGTGGCGGTGGTTCTGCTCCTATCTCAACTACCGATTGCAGAAGGTGGTGCTGGGGGACTATGGCTCTGCGCCATGGCAGCTTTGCCATGGAGTACCGCAGGGGTCCATTTTGTCCCCTTTGCTGTTTAACATCTACATGAAACTGCTGGGAGAGGTCATCAGGAGGTGTGGGCTGTGGAATCATCAGTACGCTGGTGATACCCAGCTCTTCCTCTATTTCCACCAATCCAGGTGAGCCAGTGGCTGTGCTGAATTGGTGCCTGGCCGAGGTAATGGGCTGGATGAGGGGCAATAAACTGAAGCTCAATCCAGACAAGACGGAGGTCCTGTTGGTGGGTGGCTCAGGCCCCGGGATGGGGGACTTGGGCCTTTTCCTAAATGGGGTTGCACTCCCTCTGAGGGACAGGGTTCACAGCTTGGGAGTGCTCCTCGACCCTGAGCTGTCTCTAGAAGCTCAGGTGACGGCGGTGGTGAAGAGCGCCTTCCTTCAGCTTCGGCTGATCCATCAGCTGCGTCCCTACCTGGAGAACAACTGCCTGGCGACAGTGACACACACGCTGGTAACTTCCCGATTAGACTTCTGTAACGCACTCTACGTGGGGCTACCTTTGAAGATGGTCTGGATACTTCAATTGGTGCAGAATAGAGCTGCCAGGTTGCTGATGGAAACTGGGCATTATTCTCATATAACCCCAGTTCTCCGTCAGCTCCACTGGCTCCCGATTGAAGTCCGGGCCCAATTCAAGGTGTTGGTTATGACCTATAAAGCCCTAAATGGCTTGGGACCTGGATACCTAAGGGAGCACCTGCGTCCATATTTGCCCTCCCGCCCCTTGAGATCAGTGGCAGAGGCCCTTCTCCGGAAACCCTCCGTGAAAGATATTAGGAGGGTGAGTACCCGGAGGAGGGCCTTCTCTGCGGTGGCGCCCCATCTATGGAATGCGCTCCCCAGAGAGGTCCGCCCGGCACCGTCATTATTTGTTTTTCGACACCAGGCTAAGACCTTTTTATTTAAAACTTATTTTAATTGCTAAATTATTGTATTTATTAGGATTTTAAATTAGCCAAGAATGCACTGGGGGTTTTAAATTTTTTTTCTTTTAAATTGTTATATTGTTATTGTTTATGTATGGGTTTTTTTGTATTTTTTGTGAGCCGCCCCTAGGCTTTGTTGCGATGGGGGCGGCATAGAATTGTTTTAAATAAATAAATAAATAAATTTAACTCTGAATCTCCAATGTAGTGTGTTGCAATTTTCTCTAATTCTCTTTTCCTGATCTTTTTTGCTGCCAAAGGAAACAAAGCAACTTTCTGTGTCACATAACTATTAATATCACTTAAAAGAAAAGGAACTGTTTCTGCCAAGGCATTTCTGTATCCGTAGATAGCAAGGGTTTCAAGACTCTCTCTCTGTGATCAGTATATAGCAGACAGATTAACATGTAATGAATGATGTCTTCAACTTGATATGAATCACAAATATATATAACCTGCGTTCAAGAGGCATCTTGTTCTATCACCCATCCAAAACTGCAGTTGGCATAATTTGAAATTGCAACTCGGTAAAGGTGTTTTTTAGAAAGGTTGGTCTCAATCTGGACAGAGATCTTTCTCTACAAAATTCTATTTCTTAAAAGAGAAAACCACTGAGAGAATAGATGTGGCATCAAATT